TGCCGCCGTGCCGCTTCGACGGCCGGGCGACGCTCGGCGCAGGCGCCGGCTCCGCGCGGAGCGGCGCGCAGCCGCTCTTCCTCCCGGCGGCCTGCCGGGCGCCGCCGCGGCCGACGCTCGAGGCGCGGCTCAAGGCCCGAAAGCTCCTCGTCGTCGGCGACTCCGTGAGCAAGCGCTTCCACGACGGCCTCAGCGCCATCGCGACGACGGCGGACTACTTCTCGATCAACGAGAACGTCGGCGCGCCGAACAACGACGGCGTCGGCGTGGGCCTCGGCTGGTTCTTCGCCGAGCGCCCGCCCTTCGACGCGACGCCCCTCGACCCGGACAAGCTCGAGCTCCACCCGGAGAACTGGCCCGCGTTCCTCAAGGCGCTGCGCAAGACGGACCTCGCGGTCCTCAACTCGGGGCTCCACGACGTCGCGCCGCTGCACCGCTGCGAGGGCCTCGCGCGCTGCGCCGCGACGGGCTCGGCCTGCGCCGGGGCGCCGGAGTGGCACGGCGACAAGGGCGCCGTCGTCGCGCACTACGCCGCGCGCCTCTCCGCGCTCTTCAGAGCGCTCGGCGCCGCGAACGTCACGGCCAAGGTCCTCTGGCGCACGACGACGTACCCGGGCTTCCTCTACCGCGACCACCTGAAGAAGCTGAAACTCATGCGGGGCTCCCAGTGGTACTACCGCTGCGACACGCAGCACCTCCGCGTCGACGTCGTCGACGCGCTGAACGGCGCCGCGGCGCGCGCCGCGGAGGCGCACGGCGTCGCGCTCTGGGACGTCTCCCCCATGGCCCTCGCGATGAAGGCCGAGCACTTCAACGACATCGTCCACCCCACGACCGAATACCCGAGGACGTGGGCCCTCTTCCTCGCGACCTTCGACGGCCTCCTCGCGCCGGATCGGGCCGCGCCGCGAGGAGGACGCCCGCGACGATGAAGCTCACGGAAGGCGCGGCTCCCCGGGTAATTCTAAGAGAACGCCGGGGCGGGTCGCGGGCGCCCCATCCTCGGTGAGCCGCGCGGGGGAGGTCCGGCGCGCCCTAGGACGCGTCCGCGGGCCGCCGCGCGAGCATGTTGGCAACTGCGAGGGCCTGGGCCGCGATGGCCGACCCGTAGAAGTGCGTGCCGTCGAAGGTCGCGTCGTAGCGCGCCATCGTGACGTTCGCGAGGTCGAGCACGTCCCAGGTCGCGTTCGGCGGCGGCGGCCCCGCGGCGACGCGGCGGAGCGCGGAGAGCACCTCCAGGGACTTGCCCGTGCGGAAGTTGCCCTGGCGCCTGCCGAGCCCGCACGGCGCGCTCTGGAACACGAAGCGGAGCGCGCCGGGGAGCGCGGCGCGGACGCCGTCGACGACGAGCCGCGCGAGCGCCTCGAAGGAGCCGTCGCAGGTGCCGTCGAGGCTGTGGACCGCGGCAAAGTTCGCGACAACAGCCGTCGGACCCCGCGAATCGCGCGCGGCCGCGGCCCACGTGCGCCGCAGGGGCCCGAGCACGAGCGACCGGTACTGGTCCTCGCTCCACATCTGGAGGTAGGCCACGCGCGCGGCGCCCGAGACAAACTGGGCCCCGTCGCCGGACGGGTCGAGGTAGAGCTCCGTGTCCGTGATGGCGGCGCCGAGCCACTCCGCGAAGGCCACGTAGAGGAGCCGCGCGGTGCTGTCGCCGACGAAGAGCACGAGGGGCGCCTCCGCGGCGAGGGCGCGCTCGAGCTCGCCGCCGTCGAAGTAGTGGTACGCGCAGCCGGGCAGCGCGTAGCGCCACCGGTCGCCCGTGGGCCCGTTCGCCGCGCGGAGCGCGTCGCGTTTCCGCTCCTCCTGCGCCCAGAGCTTCGGGTCCCTGTCGACGTCCACGGCCGCCAGGCCCGCGAAGCGCCCCTCAGGCCGCCCTGTGTAGGCCCCGCAGGACGGCCGCGACGCGTCGCGCGCGACCCAGACGCCGCCCGCCGTGTCGCCCGACCGGCACTGCGGCGGCGGCGGCGCGTCGCGGCACGCGCGCCGGAGCGACTCGCGCTCCCGCTCGAAGCCGTCGGGCGCTTCGGCGTCCGCGACGACGATGCGGAACGCGCCGCCGGGGACCAGCGCGGCGGCCTCGCACGCGGGCACGTAC